CTTCCCCCCCGAGTGCACAAATTTTTGTGCACTGGTCCTCTAGTCCTATCTAATAAAAGAGTAATATGCAAATTGACCATCACTCCAATACAAAGATGGCTGCCCCCATGTGGTCAAAGATGGCCACCACAAGATGGCCAGCAGGGGAGGGCAGTTAGGGGCAACCAGGCCTGTAGGGGAGGACAGTTGGGCGGGGGGACCCAGGAATACAGGGGAGGGCAGTTGGGGGGAACCCAGGACTACAGGGAAGGGCAGTTGGGGGGGGGGGACCCAGAACTACAGGGGAGTGCAATTGTGGGGGATGCAGGCCTGCAGGGGAGGGCAGTTGGGGGCGACCAGGCCAGCAAGTGAGGGCAGTTGGGGGCGATCGGGCCAGCAGGGGAGCAGTTAGGCGTCGATCAGGCTGGTAGGGGTGTAGTTAGGGGGTGATCAGGCTGGCAGGCAGGGGAGTGGCTGGGAGCCAGCAGTCCTGGATTGTAAGAGGGAAGTCTGACTGCCTGTTTGTTGGGATCGGGCCTAAACGCGCAGTTGGACATCCCTCAAGGGGTCCCAAATTGGAGAGGGTGCAAACTGGAGTGAGGGACACAGCCCCCCTACCCCCTGCATGAATTTCACACATTGGGCCTCTAGTGTAAGTAATAAAAATCTCTCCCTGTTGCCACTCAGCCATCTCCATAAATGAAATCCCACCCCCCACCCCAAACAGTTGAAACAGAAGACAGCTGTCTCTGACTGTCCACCCCTGTACCCTAATAAAAGTCATTGCCTTTATTCAAAGCAGTTGCGCTTCAATCCAGGAACCAAGAGGTCGCCAGTTCAATTCCCAATTAGGGCACATGCCCAGATTGCAGGCTCAGCTAATCAATGATTTTCAATATTGATGTTTCTCTCTCTCTCTCTCTCTCTCTCTCTCTCTCTCTCTCTCTCCCCGTCTCCCTTCCTCTCTGAAATCGATAAAAATATATTTTTTAAAAAGGAAAGAAATGGAGCAAAATGTAAACGGTGCATTTGGGGAGAATGTATTATAGAATTCCTTCAAGTAGTGTTGCAACTTTCCTAGAATTTAAAATTACATCCAAAGAAAACATTATAAAGAAACTAGAGACCCAGTGCACAAAAATTTGTGCACTTGGGGGCGGTCCTTCAGCCTGGCCTGTGCCCTCTTGCAGTCTGGGACCCCTCAGGGGATGACCACCTGCTGGCTTAGGTCCGCTCCCCAGGAGATTGGGCCTAAGCTGGCAGTCAGACATCCCTCTGGCAGCCTGGGAGCCCTTGGGGGATGTCGACTTGCCAGCGGGGAGCAGGCCTAACCTGCAGTCGGACATCCTTAGCACTGCTGAGGAGGCGGGAGAGGCTCCCACCACCACTGCTGTACTGGCAGCTGTCAGCCTTCCCCCCCCCCCAGCTTCCACCACCTGCCCTGGGGCACCCTGCAGCTCCTTGCCAGCCGGGCCCTCCTTCCCTGCGGCCCTGCAGCCCTGCTCTGCCCTCCACCTGTTCTCCCTGGGTCACGCCCATACTCTGAGCGGAGTCTGCCTGTCTCGTTCAGCTGTGTTCTCGGTGCCTGAGAGTGGGTTTGGATCAACCCCACTGCACGCTTCCCTGCTTGCTGAGGCAGAAGCTGGCGTTGGGGGAAGAGCACCAGCTTGGATTGCTGCTGGTGGTGCTGCAGCCCGTGTGCCTGAACAGGGGCCCTGACCCCCGTGCACTGTTGCAGCAGCAGTTCGTGCAGAGCCTCTGCCGGGAGGTGTGGGCGCAACGTACAATTAGTTATTTTTTGTTGTTGTTAATTCTCACCCTCGGATGTTTTTCCATTGATTTTTAGAGAGGGGGGCAGGGAGCCAGAAACATCTGCGGCCTAGGTACTTGCCCTTCACTGGATTCAAACCCGGGACCCTTCAGTCTGCAGGCCAACGCTATCCACTGAGCCACACCAACTAGGGCTACAATTGGTTCTTAAGCATCTCAATGTTTTCTTATTTCAGCTCTGGATTATCGAATCACA